CTTTAAAATGTCACTTCCTGAGGCACCTGGGTGGCTCAGTTGGCTAAACAACCGACTGTTGATTTTAGCTCAGGTCATGATCTCAGGGTCCTAGTATTGAGCCCCCTGTCAGGCTCCACACTCAAAGCGGAGTCTGCTTGAGGATTCTCTCTCTCCTTCTCCCGTTGCCTCTCCCTGCCCCCACTTGCACTCTCTCTCAAACAAATAAATCTTAAAAAATAAATAAACAAGGTCTTACCACTATCAGCATGTTTGGAAGCCAAGTATTCTAGGACTACTGACCATCAGACTTCCTACATAAACTGCTGCTCTTTTCATACTTTACAACCTGAATATCACTAAAGTTATTCAATTGTTAAAGATAAAATAGATAAGAAATTTTAAAACTCAACACCTGCAAAACAAATAATCCAGTTAAAAACAGGCAGAAGACATGAGCAGACATTTCTCTGAAGAGGACATCGAGATCATCAGCAGACACATGAAAAGATGTTCATTATCACTTATCAGGGAAATGCAAATCAAAACTACGAGATAACACACCAGTCAGAATGGCTGAAATTAACAATGTAAGAAACAACAGGTGTTGGCCAGGATGTGGAGAAAGGGGAACCCTCTTGCACTGTTGGTGGGAATGCAAACTGGTGCAGCCACTGCGGAACACAGTACGGAAGTTCCTCAAAATGTAAAAAATAGAGCTACCCTACAATCCAGAATATAAATACACTAATTCAAAGGGATACGGACACCCCTATATTTATAGCAGCATTATTTACAATAGCCAAATTATGGAAGCAGCACGAGTGTCCACTGACTGATGAATGGATAGAAAAGGAGCATATATAGATATTATATATATACGTATGGTATATATGTGTGTGTGTGTGTGTGTGTATGGGATATTACTCAGCCGTAACAAAGAATGCAATCTTGCCATTTCCAATGACATAGATGGATCTAGAGAGCATAATGCTAAGCAAAATAAGTCAGTTGCAGAAAGGCAAATAGCATATGGTTTCACTCATATGTAGAATTTAAGCAACAAAACAAACAAGCAAAGGAGGGTAAAAAGAGAAAGAGAGATACACCAAGAAACAGACTTTTGGAGTGCCTGGGCCGGGGGGCTCAGTCGGTTAAGCATCTCTCTGGCTCAGGTCACGATCATGGGGTTGTGGGATCGAGCCCCCTTGTGGGGCTTCTCACTCAGTGAGGATCTGCTTCTACCTCTCCCTCTGCTCCCTCCACCCCCCACTCATGCTTTCTCTCTCTTTCTTTCAAATAAATTAAGAAATCTTAAAAGAGAGAGAGAGAGAGAGAAACAGACTCTTAACTATATAGAGAACAAACTGATGGTTATCAGAGTAGGGAGGAACATGGGTGACATAGGGGATGAGATTAAAGAGCACTGGGTGATGTATGGACGTGCTGAATCACTATACTGTACACCTGAAATTAATATGACACTGTATGCTAACTAACCAGAATAAAAATAATAAATTTAAAAAATTATGTACAGTTCATATTAAATATTAGACTAAACTACTTTTAGCATACCGGTTTTTGAACAACCTTTAGTGGAGAATTCTAACTACCCTTAACTCTTCAGCACTTAGGAAATCTATGGACAGTTGGAAAAGCAACTGGTAAAAATCTGGAGGATTTTTTTTTTTTTTAGTGCAATAGATAAGCAGCCATATATCATGCATAAAAATGAAGTTTTTCCTGATAATACAAGTTGTGTTCATTTGATGGAATTTTGAGAAATGTTTATGACACAGATGTTTTTAAGAGTAAAATCTCAGAATCATTAAAATGAATACTCCTGCATACAGGAAAGCCAGAGAATGGGGATGGGCACCTGCTGAAAAACAAGTAATTTTGTCTCTGGTTTGATCACAAATTATGAAACATTATTCCATTTTTTGGGCCTTGGTTTTTCTGTAAAAAGGAGATAATGACTACCTAATAAAACTCACAGAATTTAATTATGTGTGACGGTAAGCTTTTACATTTTTATGCGAACCCATTTTGAAAATTTAAGATTATATACACGAGTATGGGACATATCATAATCAGTACAAGAGAGATACAGCCAATTCTCAAAGAATGAAGTTCCTCAATTTCTTCCTCCCAAAACCATGACAGGCTGGATCCACTCTAAAAACCATCTATGTCATTTTTTGCTCTTCTGGCTGGGCTGCACCCTGGAAAAGTGGTCCCCATGGTCAAAGAAAGCTTTGAAAACCAGTGATTGGATCCCTCCCCACTGCCACTTTATTCTCCCTACTGCCACACCAGGTGAGAATTCTCAAGCAGATGCACTGGGATATATGGTTTGTCCTCCTTACAGCCTAGTCTTCCCGTCCCTCATTTCCTTCATAACCCCGTACAGTCCCCATGCACATGATCTTCATGCAGTAGGTACCTCATGGGTGATGGGTGTATTTCTTACATCGTATTTTCATGGTGTCATAGTTTCATATTAATAAGCCTCTACTGGCTGTTGGATCAAAATGAGATTTGTGAAATATGTGACATAATATCAAAAACCTAAATGAAAAAAACCTTCTATATGTGTTACATTTTTTTTCTTTTTTATAGAAAATTTTGGATTAGGTCTTTTGAAGCATCTATGGTTTTAAGACTGAAAACCAAAGGATGGGGTTAACTTTGTCTTTATGGAAGCCCAACTGGAATGCTCTGTTCTTAGATTTCATGATGGACTCCTTGCCATCTGGATATCAGCTCAAACATAACTTTTTCTAAGGGATCTTTCCCTGAGTACCCAATCCAAACAACCTCAACTCTCTCAATACACTATCCATGACACTTACCACTCTTGTAATATCCTTTTTTATTCATTCGTTGGTTGCATATTACCTGCCTTCTACACAGTAAGCTGCATGGGAAGCTTACTAGAGCCTAGGCCTAGACTATCTCTCTCTCTCTTTTTTTTTTTTTACGATAGTCCTACAGAGAGAGAGAGAGAGAGAGAGAGAGAGAGGCAGAGACACAGGCAGAGGGAGAAGCAGGCTCCATGCACCGGGAGCCCGACGTGGGACTCGATCCCGGGTCTCCAGGATCGCGCCCTGGGCCAAAGGCAGGTGCCAAACCGCTGCACCACCCAGGGATCCCAGGCCTAGACTATCTTGAGGATCCCTCCACAGCCGCACGCTCGTCAGTGCCTGGCACATAGACTCCTGTCATCTGAACAAACGAATAAATGAAAAAATCGAGGCTTTACTCCACGTCAGGCTCTGAACTATGTGCTTCATGTCATTTGACAACTGTACAAATTACTCCCGTATCTCGATGAAGGCCCAAGGTTAAGTCATAGCTGAGAAGATCGATGCCAAAGCCTAATCTCTTCCCACTGTTGATAAGGACTCTCGTCTTTCCCACACAATTAATTATAATTAATCACAGGTATTAAGCACTGAGCCTATCTTGTTGGAACTAAATGCATTGAGTAAAGCAGGAAAAACACTGAAGTTGGAATAAGCGAGTGAATTGTAATTCACAAACCCTCCTTACTGACAGATCCCTGGGTAAACAGGGTGGACGGCTACCACAGTCTGACTTGCTGCTTTAGGAATTATTTAGACAAAGGTCATGCAACCTATCTAGGAAATAATTCCAGATCCAGCCGCTTTAGTAACCAGTTCCCAAACCTCAGCTTTTGAGCGGCACCTGAATTGTCCAGGCATTTTCTCCTTGCGTCCCCCCCACCCCCACCACCCCCCCTTGCTGCCAAAGTTTTGACTAGGTCACTGCCACCCTGCCCCCCAACTCTCTGGCCTCCTTTTTTTTTAGGCATCAAAGAACAATTGGGGCAGCCCGGGTGGCCCAGCGGTCTAGCGCCGCCTGCAGTCCAGGGCGTGACCCCGGAGACCCGGAATCGAGTCCCGCCTGGTGCTCCCTGCGTGGAGCCTGCTTCTCCCTCTGCCTGGGTCTCTACCTCTCTCTCTCTATGTCTCTTATGAACAAATAAATAAAATCTTTTTTTTTTTTAAAAAAGAACAATCTGGGGAAGCCCAAGAAGGGAGGAAACCCGGGAAGTTGCCAGCATTCTCGCCACGCCCCTCACCCCTCCCGCTCCTGGTCCTGCACTAGGTAAATCTGAGATCCAGCCCCCGCCCGGGCTCGGCGAAAACTGTCACCTCGGCTGAGACACACCCTTCCTGGCTCCCCGGGAGGGGTTCCCGCCCCTGCTCCTTCTGGCCCCCGCGCGCCTGCTGCCCTGGGACTCCAGAAAGTCCGCCTGGGCTGTAAACACCTGGCGCAGGGCAGGTGGCCTCGCCCAGCGAGTTCTCAGGACCCGGCCGGGGCCGCGCGGGCAGGAACGGAGCTGCCCTCCCCCGAACCGTCCTCCTCCCCCGTCCCCCATCCCCCGTCCTCCTCCCCCGTCCCCCATCCCCCGAACCCCTCCCCCGTCCTGCTCCGCCGTCCCCCGTCCCCATTCCCCGTCCCCATCCCCCCGCCGCTAGGTCCCTCGCCCTAAGGAGCCAAGAAGTGACCCCGCGGCGAGTCAGACGCGAGGCCAGCAGGGCCGCAAAAGTTTGCGTCTGGAGGCGCAGGAGGGATGCGGGTCCCACGCCGCCCCCCCCCCGGGGACCATTCCCCCCACCCCACCCCGGGGCTCGCGCGCTGCCGGCCGGTGACTTCTCGCCGCGGGAGGCGGGGGGCGGGGGGCGGGGGGCCGGAGCCAGCGTCCTTGGCAGGCGTGTCTCGGGGATCCGCCTCAGCACCCTGAAGTCTCCCCGTCTGACACTCAGCACGCTGTCATTTAGAAGGGTCCACCCCCCGGGCCAGAGCGGGAGCCGCGGAAGTCAGTCTTGTCCGCGCAGGGCACCTGCGTGTGGGCACCGCCGGGTGATGCGCTACGAGTCGGGGGAGTCGGGGGAGTCGTTCCCTTCCCTGCAGGTACCGGGACGCCCCCCCCCGGGCTCATCGCCACCCAGATGCAGGCTCCCCGGGCTCGGGGCAGGGCAGACACTCACCCTCTCGGCAGGGCTCTCCAGGCGGCAGCCTCACCTGTCCCCCCATGGCCCCCGGTCGGGGCTTCTCCCAGCCAGCGCTCCCTCCTCCTCCGCCTCCTCCGCCTCCTCCGCCTCCTCCTCCCGGGGCTGCTCGGCCCGCGGCCCCGCGAGGGGGCGGAGCTGCAGGGGCCCCGCCTGGGGCGCGCTGGCCCCGCCCCCGGGCAGCCTCAGCCAATGGGGTGTGGCCTCCGCGCTAGCCCCGCCCCCGAGGCCGAGGCTGGGAGGTGGGGCCGGGCTCCGGGGCGGGGCTGCAGGGCTGCGGGGGCGGGGCCGGCGGGAGACGCGCTGGGGCCGCGGAGGTCCTGGGGCCAACTCTCCCGCCCTCTAGGGCGGCCCCGGCTGGGCCCCGCCCCCTTTCTAGCTTCTCCCGCGGTCCAAAAAAGTTTTGCCGAGGCCCTGCTGCGGACGTTAGGGACGTGGCTGGCCTTTGGCTTTTGCTCTGGGTACCATGCTAAAATTGATTATCATTATTTTTGACAGATTTTGCACGCCTGGTGCAATCAGATTCTCCCCGCGATCCCTCAGCTTCAAACTCCTCGTCCCCCAACACCTCCCCCCACTCCCTTTTTTGAAGTCATGCAGTTATTTGCAATAAATCCTGAAGCAGAGGCAATGCTCAAGTTCAAACGGCTTATTCCCACAAAGCAGTAATAGCTCACATTTCTGGTATTCTTGCCTTGCCATGCATACGTAGGCACTTTGTATTAACCCTAAATCTCACAATCTAGTCTATAAATGGCTACTTTTTGCAGATGAGGGATCAGAGGCAAAGGGAAGGTTAAGTAACTTAACCAACTAGTTAGTTTAAGCAGTAGGTCCTTATGCAAAGCGAAATGGGTATCATTCCTGCTAAAACCTTCCTGGCAGGAAGGAGGTGCCTCTGTGCTCTGGGACTTCAACAAAGGAGAAAAAAGTCTCTCCTCGGCTCACCTTGCCTTTGCTCTAGGTATAAACAGTGCTATTAACTTTATTACCTAAGAGTTTCATAGCAGCGGCCTCAATCTTGCTTTTCTTGTTCCTAGGCTGATGAACGAAGAGTTAAGAACAGTCAGTTCAACAAAACAAGGCACACGCTTTTGCATGTGGATGGCTTGATGGGGAAGAAATAGCATAGGGAGAATGGGTGAAAGTTGGAAGGGAGGGAGATTTATGCCAAATTTGGATAATAAGCCTTAAAACTTGGATTTCTATTTAAACGTTTTGTTTGAACATCAAGCTTGAAAATTTTGCCTTTATTAAAAATGATTGTTGATGATAGTAAATGTGATCTAAAATATTATTTATGATTTAGCAGCGATAGAGCATTTATGTGAGCAAGCACTATTCTAAGCACTTATAAATATTTGCTTTTTGAATCATCATTATGGATTGATACAATACGAATATTAATCCCTACTTTAGAGATAAGGAAAGAGAGGCACATAAAAATTAACTTGTTTATGGACACCTAGCTGGCAAGTGGTGGAGCTGGGATGCTAACTAATGCCATTAACCCATTTGCTGATTGCATTTTAAAAAAACAAAACAAAACAAAACAAAAACAACAACACTAAAAACGTACCACCCAGATCATTTCTTCTAAGAATTGAATTCCAGTTTCTTACTTGGGTCTATTTTAGGTAGGAGGCACTTTGCTGTAATTCTTGTTTTTCATTTCTGAAAATAAGGAGAAAAACACTCAGGAAAAAATACTTAAACTGATTTAGGATCCTTGTTTTCTCAGTTTAAATGTTGCCTAGCAGAACTTTATATGGCCTATTTCTAGATGATTTTGGATATTATGCTATTACAGCACCATAGACTGTGTTGAGTGACATTAATTTGGGGGATTTTTATTCCCAAGAAAAAGCATGGTGTTTATGTAACCCCCCCACACACAAAAAAACATTGAAAAATCCCCAACTGGCCCACTGGTGGGCTAGGCCAAGTCTAAGGCTGAGAATTTGTGATCCCTTATTTTTTTTCAATTTGGAGACTCTTCCAAGTCTATTTGGAAGATTTTCAATAATTTTTAAATTTTCTTTAAAGATTTTATTTTTAAGTAATCTCTGTACCCAGTGTGAGTCTCAAACTTATAACCCTAAGATCAAGAGTCACATGTTCTATCTACTGAGCCAGTTTGGCCCCTAGGAGATTTTCAATTTTATTAATTATTCTAAGAACCAACTCTTACCTTTATTAATTTTCTTTATGGATTTTTAAAAATTTCATTGGCTTCTGCTATTATTATGATGGTGTATTCTTATTGTATTTAATATATATATTTATTATTTTATTTTTACTTCTTTCCTTTTTACACTGACTTTAACTGCTACTCTTCTAGTTTCTAGGGTGGAAACATAGATCATTGATTTTAAATCTTTATTCCTTCTAATTCAAACATTGAAAACTAATTTGCCTTCAAATACTGTTTTAGCTGTATACAACAAATTTTGATATGTTATGTTTTTATCATTTAGTTCAAAGTATTTTTAAAACTTTCCTAGTGATTTCTTCTTTGATCATGGACAATTTAGGAGTATGTTTCTTGATTTCCAAATATTTGGAGATATTTTCCAGATATCCTTCTTTTGATTTATGATTTAATTCGTTTTTTTTTTTAAATTTAATTCTGTTTTGAACACAGAATATTTTTTTTATACTGATAGTCCTCTGAAATTTATTGAGATTTGGCTTTTGGCGCAGCATATGGCCTATCTTGGTGAATGTTCCAAGTAAAATTTATTTATTTATTTAAATTATTCATTTATTTTTGTTCCAAGTAAAATTTATTTATTTATTTATTTTAAATTTTTTTTTAATTTTTTATTTATTTATGATAGTCACAGAGAGAGAGAGAGGCAGAGACACAGGCAGAGGGAGAAGCAGGCTCCATGCACCAGAAGCCCGACGTGGGATTCGATCCAGGATCTCCAGGATCGCGCCCTGGGCCAAAGGCAGGCGCAAAACCGCTGCACCACCCAGGGATCCCCAAGTAAAATTTAAAAGAATTTATATTCTGCCATTGTTGGGTATAGTGTTACATAAAAGTCAGGTTAAATTTGTTGCTCAAAATCTACTTTATTATTTTTTTTTACATTTGTTCTATCAGTTGCTGAGAAAGAAGTGTTAAAATCACCTATAATTGTGACTTTGTCTGTAAATACAATGATGTCAGTTTTCGATTAATGAATTTTTGAAGATTTGTCATTAGGTGCATAAACAAGTAGGATTGTTAGATGTTCTTCATGAATTGAGACTTTAATCATTATTAAATGTTCTTGTTTATTTTTAGTAATACTTTTTTATTTGAATTTACTTTTTCTGATATTAATATAGCAAAACCAGCTCTTTTATTACTAGAGTTTACATGTTATGCCTTTTCTATCCCGTTACCTTTAACTTATCTTTATATTTAAAACCTTTCTTATAAATGGGGCAGAGTCTGCTTTAGTTTCTCTCTCTCTCTCTCTCTCTCTCTCTCTCTCTCTCTCTTCAAATCACACACTCTCTCTCTTTAATAAATAAATAATATCTTTTAAAAAAATAAATCTTTTAAAAAAACCATTTCTTATAAATGACATAAAGATGTTTTATTTTATTCCATCAAAGACTTGAGAAGACCCCTCTGCAGATTTCTGGAGCTCTTTCTCTGCATAGCTTCCTCCTCACTGGAACTCCGTTCTGCAAATTCTAGTCAGTTTTGTCTCCAAGACCATATTTCAGTCTCCTCAACTAAGCAAGACCATTAGGCTCTGCCTGATTTCCTTTTTCTTCCATCACAGTTCAGAAATTGCCTCTGGACAGGGTTCAACTCATTTTTCTCTCCTTCTCTCAAGTATCACATGTCTGTGCTGTTTGTTGTTTAGTATTTTGAAGACAGTTGTTTCATATCTTTTGTCCAGTCTGGAGTCAAGCTACATTGTCAGGAACCAAAGCTAAGTCCATAGTATAGGTGATTTATAGGAGCCAAATGCAATGTTTGAACATGATATTTAAAATTTATGATTCATTTCTGAATATAAGTATCATTTTATGAGTTGTATTGACAAACAGCACAAATATTGCCCACACAGAAATTAATAACATGATATAAACTCTACAATGACTCAAGAAGTACGATCTAACTTGAGTGTGTTACTTACTGTGACTCTTATCTTGTCAGAGATGATAACTGGGATTGGTGTCTGCTCCTGTCACGACACCTGCTATGAAGCAGCTACTATACATGAACACATCTCCATCTACATTGGCCAGGCTGGTTTCCAGATAAGCAGTGCCCATTGGGAACTCTAGTACCTGGAACACATCCAACCCAATGGCCAGATGCCAAGTGACAAGACCACTGAAGGAAGAGATGACTCCTTCAACACCTTCTTCAGTGAGATGGGTGGTGGCAAGCACACCTTCAATGCCTTCTTCAGTGTTTATAGACCTGGAACCCACAGTCATTGATAAGTTCACACCAGCACCGATTGCCAGCTTTTCCACACTGAGCATCTCATCACAGGCAAGGAAGATGCTGCCAATAACTATGTCTGAAGGCACTGCACCATTGGCAAGGAGACCATTGACCTTGTCTTGGACCAAATTCAGAAACTGGCTGACCAGTGTGTGGGTCTTCAAGGCTTCTTGGTTTTACACAGCTTTGGAGGGGACACTGGTTCCAGGTTCATCTCCCTGCTGATAGAACATCTCTCTATCGATTATGGCAAGAAGTCCAAGCTGGAGGTATCCATTTACCCAGCCCCCCAGATTTGCACAGCTGTAGTTGAGCCCTGCAACTCCTTACTGCCCACCCTGCAACACTGATTGAGCCTTCCTGGTAGGAATGAAGGCATCTATGGCATCTGTCATAGAAACCTTGATGTTGAATGCCCAACCTACAATGACCTTAACCACCTTATTAGCCAGATATTTCTTCCACCACTGCTTCCCTCAGGTGTGACGGAACCCTGGATGTTGATCTGATGGCATTCTAGACCCACCTGGTGCCCTATCCCCATATCCACTTCCCTCTGGCCATATATGCACCTGTCATCTCTGCTGAGAAAGCTACCCTGCACA